TTAACAGTTTAGGAATTAATCATTGCAAACTTTTGATCCACTCAATTTGCGTTTAAAACTGCCATGCAACAGACAATCAGAATGAGGCTGAAAAAATGTGCTAAGTTTGCAATTAGTTTAGCATAACGACTCAGTAAGTGTATAGCTTTTGCCATTTTTACTCCAGCCTTTTATGCTCTCAATAATTACCCGCCAGACAATAGGAGCTTACCATAATCTGGTCGTGAAGATGCTTTGCTTTCGTTTCGGTTGTCTCTCCAAGCAATCGGCCATAAGCCATCTGCCAGCTACGTGCATGTTGGCGAACACAGGACATGAGGGGTTGAAGGCAAACGCGAATGCAACCGACTTCAAGCCAGTCTGGCTGGCTCATCAGCTCAGTGGCCTTATCATCAAAGTCAGCCAGTTTCTGTTGGATCTGATTCAAGCTTGGGTGACGCTGCATCCACTTCTCTGCCAATGCCCTCTTCAGGTTTGAAAAAATGGGATTTAATAGTGTATATAGTCAAATAAACTGTTTGTATGAGAAAAATTTTTCTTTCCTTAGGTAAAACATTCTGATAAGATGATTTAATTCGTATAAAGAAACATCAAAGGCGTGTCCTTAAGATAAAGGCTAAATATTTGTTCGAGATGAATCGTCAATCATTTCGAGACAAGTGAATGAGATAACTAACCTAGATCAGGCCTTGCAAAAAGACAATCGAAGAGCGCTTTGAGTATAAAAAATGGAATAATAAAATGAAAATCAGCGGTCTTCTGTATTTATTAGGTGATGATAGGTCTGGAAACTAAGGCATACACCCCCATTAATGAAGCCCTAGAATTTGCTGATAGCATTTTGTGAATTTTAATAATAAAAGGGTTGCTAATATTATCTTACCTGGTCTATCCGCCGTAGGCCTTTCTTAAAGTTGCACTAGATTTTTAAAATTAATTAAAACTGCCAGACTCAAACTCGAGAAGCAAAGATAGGGGAGTGATGAAAAACTTATTATATTACAAATATGAGTATTTGGGAGACTTTCACTTCGTTGATTGATCTCACCGGTGGACAATGGCCGATTTCCGTCGTTCTGCAGCCGCTTGGCTTTAATACGACGTTCATGTGATGGATAAAACTTTCGTCCGCTTTCACCCAAAATAGGGGAAGATGTCTCGTGAACTGCGACAATATGAACGTCGTATTAAAGCCTACGGTTGCATAAATATTGGAATTGGCTGTCATCTTCCCGTGAGATCGATCAATCCATCTCCTCATAATGCACCTGCATAAGAAATGAAAGTCTCTCCAACAAAGTGATCTTTATGGATTCATTGAAAGCCAGATACTCTGCGTATTCACCAATAGTGTGTTTAATCGGCCCATTGCAACATTTCTAATGGTTATAGGATTACTAGGCTGTTAGAAGTTATATGGGATGTATTTACCCTATTACGTTTAAGGTGATGAAGGACTGGTAGTACAATTTTCCCACAATAGAGCTGACGTTTCCATTGTATTTCACATTGCCTTGCTTTCCCAAAAGTTGTTTTCATCCAGGCACCAGTGGACTACAGTTTCGACCTGGAAATGGTCTTTTCAATATCCCCAGCGGGAGTCGAAACGAAATAGGGTGAATACATCTCATTTAACTGATTTACTGATAGTCTCGAAACTTTACTCAAACACGAACGATAAGTGTTTGGCATTTTGCCATATCATATTATTTGATGGGATTGTCGATGAAGCAAACGTATAATTGCTATAACTATCGGCTACGTTACTTATTGTTCGTGTTTGAGTAGAGTTTCGAGACTAAAAGTAAATCAGTTATATGAGATTTATTCACCCTATTTCGTTTCGACTCTCTCTGGGGGTATTGAAAAGACCATTGCCAGGTCGAAACTGCAGTCTACTGGTGCCTGAATGAAAACAACTTTTGAGAAAGTAAGGCAATGTGAAATACAATGGAAACGTCAGCTCTATTCATATCATTGTGTGAAAATTCTACTACCAGTCCTTTATCACCTTAAACGAAATAGGGTGAATACATCTCATATTATTGATTTACTGGTAGTCTCGAAAATCTACTCAAATACAAAAAAATATTAGAAGTTAGTTGACCTTGTTTTCGCAACTTAATCGGCAGGAAGGCCTAGAGAAGCACACCTAGTCGGGAATTCATAGTATGCATGTTAATTTCCGTATTCGGATCTTGGACATGGTATATTCCCAGACGGTTCGCTGGCATCGTCAGTGAGCCATGCCGTTCTTAGCAACACGTAAGACAATTTGTTGTGTTACCAATTGCAAGGCTCACCGACGATGCCGACTACGAGGCCGGCTGGGAATGTGCCAAGTCCATGGTTTGACTCTGTAAATTATCATGCAAACAAGTTATATGCGACGAAAGAAGACCATGACCATACTAATGGCCAAACCATTTTGGTCTTAATACCTTCAATTATTTTTAATTGTCAAATTATTTTTGCTTTCAGCGACAACTGGAGGTTAGTTGGCTCCATGATTGATATGCGAAGAATTAGAAATTTAAGCACTAAATCAACTCAAAGAATGGCCGAAACAGTAAGGATGTAGTTGAACTTAGTAAAATTTGTTCAAAAGAAAATGGAGTCAATAAGTTATCCAGTATACCTATTGATGATAATGCTAAGCTCCTCTTGGAAAGGGGTCTAAGCATCGCCTTTCCAAATGAGCAAATTCATTTTATGGAGATATTGGTTGAATTAATTAACTTACCAGACAAGCTGTCAGAGGAGACTAAAAATATTATAGAAATGGAAGTAATTCCTCATTTTGACAAGGTAATTATTCCAAATAAATCTTATGACTTGAATAAGATTTCTAGATATTTGCACCAAAATGATCCGTTTGTTTTGAAGGCAGATAAAGTAGGTGCGGTGTTCATCTTAGATAGATTAAGCTATATAGAATAAAGGATGGTTCATTTAAATGACTCAGAAACATACAGGCTTTTAGTAAAGGATCCCACAGGGAGTCTTAAGGCCAGAATTAGGGAATCTTTTAACGTTTGTGTAAGCAAAGGAGAAATTAAGAAGTGGAAATTTAATTCACTTCTTCAAATGGATGTTAGGGCACCTTCTGCTAACGGCCTTCCAAAGATACACAAGTAAGGAGTTCCTTAAGAATAATTGCTAATAATAAGGGAAGTGTGGTGCATAGGATTTCACGATTCGTATGCAGACACTTAAAGACATTGGCTGAGTATCGGGAATATTCAGTTAAAAATTTATCTAAATATGTTAGATTGGTAGATCAAGATAGTATTAGAGGGGAGGATATTTTGTGAGTTTTGATATGGTATTAATGTATACTAACATCCCAGTTCAGAAAGCTAGCATTCCTCCTTGATGAGCATCCAGAAATTATTAAAAAGCGAAACTGAGCAAAAGCTTAATCTTAAGGTTACTTAATGAATCCATGAGTAGCACATACTTCACAATTAATGATAAAGCTTATGAATATGGGCAAGTCTTAACAATGGGATCTTGTTTGGCTTCCATTTTAGCGAATCATTACATGCCAAGAATGGAGGAACTCTTCATGGAAGAGGTAAAATTGACTCGAAGACTGTTACTTAGATATATTAATGATTACTTTACCATATGGAGGCATGGTAAAGATAGTTGAGATAATATATAGTTAATAAATAAACAGATTGATTGCAATGTTAAGTTGACCATGGAGGTAGAGAAGGACAATAATTTACCTTATTTGGGTGTTTTAGAGATAAAAGTGGGTGAGAAGCTAAGAAGGGATGTATATAGAAAGCCAACGCACGCTGGCTTCATCCGTGATTTGTTCTCCACACATAGTTATAAAACAAAGGTTGGAGTTTAAAAATCTATGATTACTAGGAGCACAAGATTAGCCGATAAAGACCTTTGTGATAATGAACTGAATCGGCTCAAACTAATATTTCTTGAGAATAAGTATCCCCTAGGTTTGATTAAACTAACATTAGATTAATAATGAATATCTTTTTGAATGATGAATAGATAGAGAGAGATAAATATGCATTTTTTTCATGTTTTGTCTGTGCCTCCTAGCATTAGCTCTAAAGGGATAGGCGAACTAGTAAAGAAGAGGGAAATAAAAACGGTTTTCAGGGAAAATACGACACTTTCTTCAGTTATGCCCACTTTTAGAGAGACACTTGACCCATTATTCAGATCGGATTGCTACAAAATAATGTATTCGTATGGTCACTTTGATGTTGAAGAGACTTGTCGTCCGATTTGACAAAGGGTAGCAGAGCAAAAGGAGCCTACAAAGGCTGTTGGGTTCGAAAATCAAAACTGGCTGAGCACGAGACAGAAACAAGACGCGAGATTAAATGGTCTCAAACTTCTCGTTTCGCTGATTATGGTGTCTGTGGCTAAACGTAAGATTAGGGAAATCATCAAAAAAACCAAATAGTTAATGCATTAAATGTAAGGAATACCGGCAGGAAGTTAAGTAATAACTAATTCTGCTTAATTAATTAATGAGTGGGTGTTGAGCAGCCTGAAAAAGGAGGTGACTCAACTAGTCTTTTCTTTTCTTGGTTCAAATCCCGGTCTCTTTTCTGTACATTTGGCCCACTTTTCTTCCTTCACATGAAGACAAAAAAGCTCATCGGCATAACCAGACGTGTGTCCGACCTTGTGCAATCGGAGTGATGGTTAAAATATATATAGAGAAGGAGTGATGGCGTTCATCAAACCATGATAGCCGAGGATAGACAATACTTTTGCTTTCCTAATTACTCTGAGCCATCACTGCTAGTTTCATACACATGTGAACACATACAAGTATATGCGCATACAGAGGCATACACACTCACATGCTTCAAGGTTGACATATGACTGGAACTAACCAAATCACTTTATATCTCATCATAGAGGTCAAATATATAGTATATATACAGCTTTTTATGGATGAGTCGGTGAATTTTCTTGACTTTTTAGCTTGAATGCGGATGCAAGGATGATACCCTGCTCTGATGTTGTTTGTCATACGACGAATGAAAGCTTAGCAAGTTTTCACCGGAATCGAAAGAGATTACCTTGGAAACAGCGTCAACAAGCTTGCTCAATTAAAGCCAATCAACAGCTGGTCAAGAGGAATCCGCCGTCGTCTTCTGGTGGGATCGACCTTCGAATCTCTTCACCAAACACTTTAAGTCAAAATGGAAGTAAGCTCGAAAATTCTGATTAGTAGTTGGTAGTCTGAACGAAACTAAAGCACGAATGAATTTGCCTGGTTAAAATTTGGCTTGATCGTTGGACTAAACCACAAAGCAGGGCACTGCTGATGGATGTAGTTTACTTTAGTTTTATTCCAATTCAGTATAGACGAGTACAAACAGCTATTCTGGCGGATGAGAGAACTTCTAAATATTAACCTACAAGCAATTTCCTAATTAGCTAATTTCGACCAATTATGATAAAATTTAAAATGATGCTGAAATAATCTTTCAACAGGGAAATATACTATTTGCGGTCAAAGTAAGAATGCTTGTTATGCCCATCCAAGAAAATGCAAACCGCTGGCGCAAATTACGTGTGCAATCTCTCTCTAGTTTGTATGACCAACTTTAAATTCGCAAATAAATAGGTGATAATTAAGTAAATTACTCGTAAATTAAGCAACAATCCTCATTGTTATTCAAATGAAATAGATATGGCTATCCGATTGGTAAATTTGATCCTTTTATCTAAATTGCAGAGAATCAATTTAAGAAGCATATTATAAACCTTATTTGGAGAGAAGAGATGTTTTTCTCGTCGCCAATGGTCCTGAAACTTTTTGAGGCGATCTGAATAGCTGGTGTATATCCGGCTGGTCTGCTGGATCAAATGGCTGATTTCGGTCGACTCCGAAATGTCCTGAAGAAAGGTAAAGTAGAAAAGCTCATCTTGACCCTCTACCTTCACCCCAGGGGACTCGACACAGGAATATCTTTCCCAACGGTGAAAGGCGCGCGTCACTTCAATAGCATCACGGAGGTCCTAAGTGAATAAATTAAAATTGGATTAACTTGCTTCAGGAAATTTTGGGCAACGTAAATAATTATTTGAGTAAAATGAGAGTTAAAAAGCACCTCTATTTAATTATTTTTATTCCGTAATAATTAGCTTAAATTCAATGTGAGAAAAAGGCCTTATTTTACGTTCGCCCCATCATAATGGGCCATAGGCGTGGCTGAAGAATACTTCCTAAATTATCTTTACGCAGAGTTAACTACATTTATTATTCCCGTCAAAAATATTTTTCATTATTCAATTAAAAGCCCTAAAGTATTAATCTATTATCTTTCATTAAGCCTACACTCCTGACTTGTTGCAAAGGTACTCCACTGATAGAAGATGAGGTGACTGGGACTTTTATTCAAGATGTACCGACAGTCTCGAAAACCTCGTTTATTTGCAATTAGCTAATACAGTCGATTATATGGGACCGGTAGTCTCGAAACTCTACTTATATAGGAAAAATCTAGTATATTGTCATAGTAAAACATAAATTTGCCACATCGACAATCCCATTATTAAATCGTGATACGGTAGAGGTCTGGCCTTTCAGAAAATTCATGTCTTCCTCGTGACCCAGAGACACACGTTGCAGTGATGATGTATCGAGATTATGCACTGTACTACCTTGGTCCGACTTGCGCTGAATGGGGGTGTCTGATGAAACTGTAGTTCACTCTGGATGAGAATAGCTTTTGAGAAGCAAGGCTACATGAAATATAATAGAAACGTGAGGCCTACTCATATAATTATGCAAACAAACTAAATGTTAGTAGGAAGACTTGGAGAAACGCACCTAGTCCTGAGTTTATTGTCTGCATGATCATTTCCCAAGTTGAACCATGAACGTGGTACAATTCCAAAAGTTTCGCCGGCATCGCAGTCAGCATCGTCAATAAGTATCGCCATTCTTAGCACCACACAACAACTCGTCAAAAAGACTTGTCTCTAAGAATGGCGATACTTACTGACGATGCCTACTACGATGCCGGCGAAACGTTTGGGAATGTACCACGTCCACAGTTCAACTTTGGAAATGATCATGCAGA